GACATTTTCAAAGGTGTTGAAGAGAGAAGAGGTCGGACAAATCAAGATCTTAGAAGTGCAAGAATGAAGCTTCTACTGGTGGAGATTCAAGTGTGCTTTGGAACTTAATGCCAGCCCCTATAAAAATCTGCACTCGACGGAAGCTTCAGAAATCGAAGAGGCGTTTGCTTTCTCAAAAGCTGGGCTGCTTAGAGATCACGAGGGTTGATCTCAGAAATCGAAGAGGCGTTTGCTTTCTCAAAAGTTGGGCTGCTCAAAGACCACGAAGGCCGATCTCAGAAATCGAAGAGGCGCTCGCTTTCTCAAAAGCTGGGCTCCCCAGAGACCACGAGGGCCGATCTCAGAAATCGAAGAGGCACCTACTTTTCCAGCCTTGTCAGCACCTGTCACACGCACACTCAGCTTTGCGGAAATTATGGGCATTCTGTCGAAGACTTCTGGGGAAGTAGAAAACACATGAATCTTACTGTTCAATCACCCACTTCCCACACGCAACAATAGCTCATGGGTACCACAGATAACTTTGCCAAAGTTCTCTGCCAAAGTTGAGCACGTGAAGCTTGCAGCTCCCACTACATCGCTCTGACCAAGAAGGGTAAAAGAATAGCAAAGAAACAGCACTAACAAAGTTTAGACCCATAAATTTTGAAGGTCTAGCTACCATATTATTACCCACAAGGGTAAAGGAACAGTACCACTGCTGGATAATTGGAAAGTCCCTGTGTGTCAACCTCTGTGCTTCGTGGCAAGGTAGACTAGCAAACATGCCCAACCTTTACTCACATTCGAGAAAACACTCCCAATAAGATTGCTTGCTCCAAAATCGAAGAGGCACCGTCCTCCGAATCTCGAGAGCCAGACTCCCAACATGACTACTTTCTTAAAAATCGAAGAGAGGGTAAAGGAACAGTACCATTGCTGGATAATTGGAAAGTCCCTGTGTGTCAACCTCTGTGCTTCGTGGCAAGGTAGACTAGCAAACATGCCCAACCTTTACTCACATTCGAGAAAACACTCCCAACAAGATTGCTTGCTCCAAAATCGAAGAGGCACCGCCCTCCGAATCTCGAGAGCCAGACTCTCCCAACATGATTACTTTCTCAAAAATCGAAGAGACACTGCTCCCCGAATCTCGAGAGCCAGACCCCCAGCATGATTGCTTTCTCAAAAAATCGATGAGGCATCGTTCTCCGAATCAATCGAAGAGGCGCTCGCTTTCTCAAAAGCTGGGCTGCTCAGAGACCACGAGGGCCGATCTCAGAAATCGAAGAGGCACCTACTTTTCTAGCCTTGTCAGCACCTGTCACACGCACACTCAGCTTTGCAGAAATTATGGGCATTCTGTCGAAGACTTCTGGTGAAGTAGAAAGCACATGAATCTTACTGTTCAATCACCCACTTCCCACACGCAACAATAGCTCATGGGTACCACAGATAACTTTGCCAAAGTTCTCTGCCAAAGTTGAGCACGTGAAGCTTGCAGCTCCCACTACATCGCTCTGACCAAGAAAGGTAAAAGAATAGCAAAGAAACAGCACTAACAAAGTTTAGACACATAAATTTTGAAGGTCTAGCTACCATATTATTACCCACAAGGGTAAAGGAACAGTACCACTGCTGGATAATTGGAAAGTCCCTGTGTGTCAACCTCTGTGCTTCGTGGCAAGGTAGACTAGCAAACATGCCCAACCTTTACTCACATTCGAGAAAACACTCCCAACAAGATTGCTTGCTCCAAAATCGAAGAGGCACCGTCCTCCGAATCTCGAGAGCCAGACTCCCAACATGACTACTTTCTCAAAATCGAAGAGAGGGTAAAGGAACAGTACCATTGCTGGATAATTGGAAAGTCCCTGTGTGTCAACCTTTGTGCTTCGTGGCAAGGTAGACTAGCAAACATGCCCAACCTTTACTCACATTCGAGACAACACTCCCAACAAGATTGCTTGCTCCAAAATCGAAGAGGCACCGCCCTCCGAATCTCGAGAGCCAGACTCCCAACATGATTACTTCCTCAAAAATCGAAGAGACACTGCTCTCCGAATCTCGAGAGTCAGACCCCCAGCATGATTGCTTTCTCAAAAATCGAAGAGGCATCGTTCTCCGAATCTCGAGAGCCAGATACCACAGACCACTTTTTCAAAGTGCTCTGACAGAGTTAAAACATGTGAAACTGGCAGCTCCCACTACCGTGCTATGACCAAGCAGGGTAAAGGAATAGCATTACTACTTGTTGTTAGGGAGACTCCTATATATGTCGACCTCCATCCCCAACGGACAGGCAGACCTGCAAAAATGCTCAACCCTTCATCATATCTGAGAGGGCACTCCCAACGAAGCCTTTCGAAATATTCAGCTTTCTTTCCCCCCGATAATACCTCTGCAAACAAGCTATACTAGAGCAAGAATATCTCATATCATCAGGGTTAAAAGCAAGAGTATCCCATATCATGCTTTTTCCCTGTCTTTTCTTTTGGCCTTGTTTTTACCTGCAAGACAAGGAGAAAGAGAGCAATCAGTCAGCACTTGGAATCAAGCTTCCAGCCAGGAACTGACTGCCTGGAACCCCTTACCTGATTACTTACCTGGCATTGCTCTCGAGTACTCATCTTCAACATCTTATGTTTCCAGGGAAGATTCCGCATCTGCTTGAGGAACAGATAGGGCAAGTGCGAAGGATACAAGGAAGCATGTGGAGACAAGCGTAACAGCACACGTGCCGATACATCCATTACTCTGTCAAAAGCAAAAGTATCCCATATCAGCAGGGTGGAACGTACTCTAGATTTGATGGACTTGTTTTGACCCTCAAATTCTTCAGTCGGCCTTATACTCTGGAGGAAACCAGAAAACCCTCCAGCTCAGTTCAAGAATAAGCCTGTGGAAAGTTACTTCTTCAAAAGCAAAAGTATCTCATATCATCTCTTCTCATTTTTCTTCTCTTTATCCTTCATGCTGCTGCAAGATGGGGAGAAGGTGAACAATCAGTCGGAGCTCTGATTGCTTACCTTGTCTGTCACCTCTTTCAGCAGACCCCCTAGCTCGGCGACTTGGGGGACTCCTACTACATGGTTTGTATCGCGCTTGACCAAGCCTGAAACTACAAGTAAGCTTCAAGTGAAATTGATACATTACCTTGTGCATCTCCACCAGTTAAAGATACCACCCCTGGATGGAGGAAGAGTACTTCCAGAGAAAGATGCCACATCTACCTATGAGACAGATAAGGCAAGTCAAGACGACACCACACTCCGATACTTAGAAGTTTCGTGATTACGAGATCATTCTCCCACAATATTTCCTAATGTCATTTGTACTAAATCATTCACTGTACTCACTAAAGGAGAGCTTGAACCTATGTACTTGTGTAAACCCTTCACAATTAATGAGAACTCTTCTATTCCGTGGACGTAGCCAATCTGGGTGAACCACGTACATCTTGTGTTTGCTTTCCTATCTCTATCCATTTATATACTTATCCACACTAATGACCGGAGCAATCTAGCGAAGATCACAAAAAGCGACCGTTTTCGCTACCTAGGATCTATCTTGCAAGAGAACGGAGAATTAGATGGAGATCTCAACCATAGAATACGAGCTGGATGGAAAGAGTGCATCCGGCGTGTTGTGTGACCGTCGTAGGCCACTGAAGCTCAAGGGAAAATTTTATAGGACGGCAATAAGGCCAGCGATGTTGTATGGCACAGAATGTTGGGTGGTGAAGCATCAACACGTACACAAAATGGGTGTAGCGGAGATGAGGATGCTTCGTGGGATGTGTGGGCACACGAGAAAGGATAAGATTGGGAATGAGGATATCCGAGGTAAAGTAGGAGTAGCCGAAATTGTAGGAAAGATGAGAGAAAATCGGCTCCGGTGATTTGGACATGTGCAAAGAAGGCCGACTGACGCTCCGGTTTGAAGATGTGACTACGGGATAGAGGTTCAGGGCCGAAGGGGTAGAGGAAGACCTAGGAAAACTTTGGAAGAGACTCTAAGAAAAGACTTAGAGTACTTGGATCTAACGGATGACATGACACAAAACCGAGCGCAATGGCGTTCTAGGATTCATATAGCCGACCCCACTTAGTGGGAAAATGCTTTGTTGTTGTTGTTGTTGTTGTTGTTTTATTTTCTTCATTCCGTCAGGAAATCAGGCAACGATCTCTCTCAACTTGTATTCATATAAAACTCAATCAATTATCCAGTGAACTTCATATTCATCAAGCACAAAATAGAAGAAAACTACTGCTGAGAACCGAATCTAAGGAGAGGCTATGAAAGGGATTTCTGCAGCATCTCAAATTCCATCAAGGCCATTTACAAAATCCAACGACCATTAACAAGTACGATAACAAGGATGATTGTAGGTCCTGGTGTGTGCTGCCATGAAAAGTCCACAATGCAAAATCCCTCCATACTAGTGCTATTTGCATCTAGCAATCTGTACCAGTTTACATAATACCCAACTAATCATTCCGCATATAAGGCAGGAAGACATGGCTATTTAAGCTTAAGATGAAAAATTAATATATCTTACTGGGGATTCTCAGATAAAGAGTGATCTTATGTTGCCCTTTTAAACCTAGTCAGCTCACTTAAAACATCTTTTAGTGGTTGGCTGAGCGTGCTTCTCTTAGCCTGGAAGGAAAACATATATGTATATAAACTAGCAGCTTGAAGTGATTTCGAAAGCAAAGATAGTATAGGAATTAGTCAAGGCAAAGTTGGCAACCCCAAATAGCTTCGGGAAAGCATTCTTGAAACACAGATACAGATAAACAGTCTGGAAGGCAGAAAACCAAGAAGTCAATTTTCAGTAGCTTAACAGTTCCATTGGGAACCTAATAGTTCCAACATCATAAAACGCAGCCAGAAAGAAACTCGTATTCGTGGAAATGAAAAAAATCAAAGAGATCAGCAAAAGGGGATTTAAGAGTACTAGCCCTCATGGATCAGAAAATAATATCATTCGCATAAGAGAAATTGGAGCATTGGTCCCCAACTTTAGTCAAAAGGCAGCTTTGGTTCACGAATTAAAAATCTGTGAGTGTTGATCCATGAACTTATCACAATGTGGAGCACTGGTCCTTTTGGGTAATCCCGTTAGAACTTCCATCCTTTATTTCCCCCTTTAAACCTTTTATATTGGATGAAAGTTCAAACGGAGTTCCCCAAAAGGACCATCGCTCCATAGTGTGCGAAGTTCAAGGGCCAATACTCACAGATTTTAGTTTAGGGACCAAAACTCCAATTGGGAAAAAGTCCAAGGATCAATGCTCCAACATTCTCTTTCCACAATGGCAAGTTTACTTACATGGAATGGGTATGGAATTATTCCCAATCTTGACTTCCTGGTGTTTACTAAAACATGGGTTTTGGACTATTCCAATTCCAAAATTCCCGTGTGTTAGTAACAAACATGGAATAAAAAAGAGTATGGGTCCCACCATACAATCTGTAATCCAATGCCTAAAAAAATCAGAATCGGATCGATTAGGAGGGGCCAGTTGACCCCATACCCATCCATTCTTTCCTTTCCCCAATTCATGACTTTCTCCATTCAAAGTGAGTAACATGCAAATAGATTGGAGATTATCAATTTTTGAATAGTAATTAATCCAAGAAGTGAATACCACATATTCCCCTGACAAAATCCAAAACAGAATTGAGTTATCCCTGACTAGAACTAAAATTGAAATAGAAAAGAAAATCTTGTATGTTTAAACTACAATTTCTAACTAGATCCTTCAATTTCGCCCAAAACAGAAAAATGCATGGGTTTAATTATGAACAATATCATACCTTCAAGGATGGTACTAAAGCAAAAACTTCATCGGTGGTTTCTGGACAAACATTGGCAATCACACATACCTGTGGCAAAAAATTAAAATCAGAGACCAGTCCTTAAATTTTAAGAACTAATACCGAAGGTTGAGATTGTAACCTCTCCATCTTTGACACCATATTTTTTTAGAGTCCTGATATTCAAGTTAAGGGTTCAAACACAGGGAAAGTATTTATATACGCACACATATAAAAATCAAGGAACAAATCAAGCATACTCAAACATGCATACACACACACACCCACCCAGGCAGAGCACATCAAGGATACTCAAGAACGTGTCTCCCAGATTGGGGATGTGTATAACGGCTGGTGCTGTTGGCATACTGCAGTCCCTTGTCGAATGATCTGAAAACAAAACCATTTAGGACACTTCATATACAGAAAATTAACATCAACTGCTATAATAAACCATTTTCTCAATCACCCTTCTTTCTTTCAGATGATAGAACTTGATTCTTACACAGGGATTTTAATAGTAGGATCTTTAGACAACATGACCATCTGCTCCTGGATGCCTTGTAATATATCGGCAGCCTCACAATCCATCATACATTTGACACTCTTCGGAAGTTCTGCAATTAACAACAAAACTGACAATATTATAGTGCTTAACTAAAAAGATTATTTTAAATTTCTAAGCTTCACTCTTATCGTAAGTATTTGATATACAAAATATCAAACACATGACACTTAGTGCTGAGATGCTAAAGTAGTCACTGTATATTTTTAGTAAGTAAACATCGCATGTTTGTAACAGAAAAATGCTCATATGGCCAAGAAAAGTGCTCACCCTGCTCAATTTTGAGCTCCAGTGGCTGTGGTTCTTTCTTTTTAGCATTTGCGATTGTGTCTCCTTTTCCCCCCTTGCCCCAATCAGCTTAAAAATCACAGTTTGCAAAGGAAAGAGAGAAATAAAATGAAATTCAGATCATTGACTTCAGATATACAAGTGATGAAACTGGAAATTCAGAATAATTCGGAATTTCAAATAATATTAAACCTTTCCCTGAAGCAGCAGCTGGGCGATAAAATTTTGACGAAAAGTTTGATTTGGGTTCCCGGGAACCTATACATGCATGAGTCATGACACACAAGACCCAGTGACTATAATATGAGACTAAGTTAAATAGGAAAAAAATAGAGATTACAGAAACTGTACCTTCAGAATCGAACTGAACTCGTCTTCCCTTCTTGGACTTTGTCGAGCTATCATCCTTACCTACACAAACAGATGGGATGCGATTACCTCATTTCTTTTACAAACAAAAAACACCCAGATACAAAAATGTCAACAAAGTCAAGAAAAAGCAGACCATCCTTTGAGCTAGGAGGGGTAGATTTCAGCGAAGGTTTAGGCAAAGAAAACCCCTTTCCTCCTTTCTCCGACATCTCCACCACTGGATGTTGCAAATTAACACCCTTTTCACACCACCGTAGTATTCACTCTGTAAAATTAAAACCTCACAGGGTTAAAAATTAAAAATTAAAAATTAAAAATTAAATGAAGAGCAAGAGAGAGAAAGAACCCTAATCCAATCCAACCAAAAAGGAAAACCCACAATTCAAACAGAATCCCTGCAAGTGTACCACCAGGGAGGGAGGGAGGAAGGGAGGAGCCAGCGGAGGAAGTCACCGGCGGGAAGGGGAAGACCAGGAAGTGGCTTCAGAAGTGCTAAACTCTTTAATCCGGGGGTTTGAATTGTTGACTGATTTGTCTTCTTCGCAGGCTATGTGTTTAGGTCATCTTCAGCCGTACGAGGGTGAAAAGCCTACAAAAAATTAATATTTTAATAAATAATGTCATGTGATATTTTATATCATCTTTAATTGAGAGAGCCAAAGAGTCATATGCCAAACATAGTCATTTAATAAAAAACCATCTCCAAGGAGGCCATATGCCAAACATAATTTATTATTTTAATTAAATTAATATAGTTATTTAAATTAAACTATCATGTTAAATTTAAAAATTACAACTTAAACTTAAAGACTACAACTTCAATTTAAAGACTACACTAACTTAAATCTAAAAACTACAACTTAAATATTAAGGAATACAACAACTTCAATTTAAAGATTATAATCATCATCTTCATCCGCTATTGTAGGAGTATAGTCGGAAATAAATAACTCTTGTTAGGCCATAATTTCCCTGTTTTTCCTATCAAAATATGTCTTATTCATTTGAGTGTAATTCAAAGTGTTCATTTGCATGTTCCTATCATCCATCTCTTCTTGTTTTTGTTTTGCCCATTCTTCGGGCCTATGATTCCTTTTTTCCGCGGCAAGGGCATTTTGCTCCAATATTAATCGCATTGAGGCTGCCATTTCTTGTTGAAAGGCTAAATCATCATTTGCCTTACTCTTTTCCTTCAATTTTCAGGCCTTATTTCGTCTCATAGCCCTAGGTATGAAAGATTTGCCCAGAGAATGATTTCTACCCTTGTTTCTTGAATGATAGGAGATCCTTGTTCATCCCCAACTGCATTTGAGGAAACATTTCCGAACACCGACGTATGACCAAATCTTTCTTGAGGTGGATCTTGAAATAACACCCACCTTTTACAAATTTCTCAACAATCGTGATGACTAAAGGGTTTCGAGTTGTTTTCCATATACAATTCCTCCGTTTGGCGTACCTAGAAAATATAATTATAACAATTAAAGGAAATTAATTTATGAAACTAAATGTAATATAATTAAACATTTAAAACAATTTATGCAAATACGTACTTCGTCGAGTAATTGGATCCGCTTTCATGTCTGCTTTCAACCTTTACCACTGCTTGATGCCATTTATTCAAACTTGGATGAAGATGTTTTTTTCATCTTGAAGAATAACTCTCGTGGTTTCGGGGATTCGGTGGAGTGGTGCCTTCGTAGAACTCATACTACTTTTTGGACGTACGAGTCCAAACACCTTCACTTGTTTGAGAACTCCTCTTGACATTATCTTCCAAGACTCATCTATAAGCCCTGCAAAGAACTTCATCTTCTTTTCGGGTCTAAGCCCTTCCTTTCATTGCAGATGTGGCCATTTGAAAATTATTAAAAGAAAAATTGAAGGAAATATTATTGGAAAAGGTAAGAGAATAGAATGTGAAAATTTTAAATAAAATGAGGTAAGATGGTATGATATGGTGAAAATTATGTGGGAAATGGTGTAGGAATGACTTAGGTATTTATACGAAAAAAAATTAGAATTTTTTTTTAATTCGTCCTGAAAAAATAAAAAATTCAAATGCAACGGTAACCTGAAGTCCGCATGATGTCAACAAGCCGTTGCTACCTGGTGTCATGCTAACGCTAAGTTACCGTTGGAATTCAAATGTTAGGGTGGGACTGGGGCTAGCTGGCTAGCTGGATAAGGCCAGCCCACATGCCTGATTTCACATTTTTGGCTCGATGGGCCCACAAGCCATTTGCCTAACCTTAGGTTAGAGACCGTTTTCATGTTATTTCGAGCTATTTTTAGTCCTATGGCCCTTTGGCCGGATCGGTTGGAGATGACCTTACTACCTGGTTTTCACCCTGCATTGTGTCCTCAGCAAAAGCCAGACGTATGTAGCGTATTGATTGCCATGCCAACCATGCCATACCTAGTTGGTGCCAACGATAATGGTACGGTATTGTATCGTACCGAAATTTCATGATACGGTATTGGTAATGAATACCATTATTACGGTATTACCGTCCTATATCAAAAATATAATATATAATTTATAAATTATATAATATATAATTAATATATATATATATATATATATATATATATATATATTTATAGTATTCCAATAATTTGAAAATAAAAGGGAAATTTGTAAAAATAACCAAAATTTAGACCCCATATAGAATTTTAACCACAATTTTAAACTTATAATAATTATAACCAAAAGTTAATATAAAAGTACTAAAATACCCCTAATGACTAAAACCTTCCTCATTTGCTGCTTTTAACTGTGAAAAAATCGAGCTTAAAAAAAAAAAAAAAAAAAAAAAAAAAAAAAGCTCCAAAATTCCCAGTCCCCAGATCGCCAATTTAGGTTCAACTTTCTTCATTTTGGCACCATTTGTAAATCCTCAAATTACTTTCTGTTGATGCACAAAACCGGGGGGGTCTTGGAACAACGTAAATCCGACCGTGAATCTGCAAGAAAGTAAAGAACACAAGATGTATCATGGTTCACCCCAATGTTTGGGCTACGTCCACACTGATATTGTATTTCTCTGAGAGGATTGTGATGGAGAGAGCCTCTGTAATATGAGAGCGAGGCTTTGAGAGGGTGAGAGTCAGGCCTCATAATTGACCTCCCTTAATGAGGAGAATGAAGGGTCCTTTTATAGAATAAGGGCTCCTCACTTATTACATACTTACATTTGAGTCCTCCTAGTATTTATACGAGATCTAAATACGGAGGCCCTAAGTATGGTATAAACAGTAGTCCTCCAAGTCTTCAGTCAAGAGAGTCTTTTAGCTTGAGACTTGAAATTCAATCCATGTGTGGGCCGAAATAACTAGATGTCATCTAGGACTGATACTCGATATGAGGCGGTGCTCAATTTGAAATGATGCTTAACTAAAAGTAGCACATGTTACAAGGCTGCTTTGCTTGTGACTTATGTTGTCTTGGTTGGCTCGGCTTGTGGTGTTGAAGGTGAGGGAGACCCTTTTATAGAATAAGGGATCGCTCTTCAATACATAAATGATGGGCTAGAGTTGAAGCTCGCGGCGAGGCGGTTGCTCAGTAGGCGGCAATGCTCTCTAATGATGGTGAGGGAGTCATTTTTATAGAATAATGGCTCGCTCATTAATACATAAGTGATGGGTTAAGAGTGATGCTCGCGTCGAGGCGGTTGCTCAGTAGGTGACGATGCTCTCTAATGATGGTGAGGGAGTCCCTTTTTATAGGATAAATGCTCGCTCCTCAATACATAAGTGATGGGTGCTCTCTAATGAAAGTGAGAGAGTCCATTTTATAGAATAAGGGTTCGCTCATCAGTACATAAATAATGGGCTAAGTCCCTCCAGTATTTTTCATGTGGCCCAGTTGAGGCCCAATATATGGTACATAATGTAGTTCCCCAAGTCTTCGGTCAATAGAGTCTGTTGCCTGGAAACTTCAAATTGAATCCATGTATGGGCCGAAGTGGCGGTTGTTTGGAGGTGGTATTTATATACCCTGCACTGAAGCTTTGTAGGTGAAGCTTTTCAAGTGAAGCTTTTAAAGCTGGAGCTTTATAAATGAAGCTTTTGAAGCTGGAGCTCTGTAAATGAAGTTTTCGAAGCTGATTGACATGAGTGATGCTCATGAATGTTTATGTTGATTAACATGAGTGATGCTCATGGATGTTAACATGAGTGATGCTCATGAATGTTAACATGAATGATGGTCATGAATGTTTATGTATGATTGACATGAATGATGCTCATAAATGTTTATGTATGATTGACATGAGTGATGCTCATGTATAATTTTATAGTACTGGACGTACTTTTGATCACCTGGTTGGTGATAATAGCGGCAGGCTGCCGAATAATTTTGGAGTACTGGCGTACTTTTGATCACCTGGTTGGTGGTAATAGCGGCAGGCTGCCGAATAATTTTTTGTAGTACTAGACGTACTTTTGATCACCTGGTTGGTGGTAATAGCGGCAGGCTGCCGAATAATTTTTTGTAGTACTGGACGTACTTTTGATCACCTGGTTGGTGATAATAGAGGGTCTGGCTCTTTTGGGCAGGGCCTTTGCCTTTCATATAACATTTTAGCCCATTATTTTGGGCTTGTACAGATGTCTCCGAAAAGATAAGAAAAATAAATCACATCATTCAAAAACAAGAAAAGTAAATCTTATCATTCTGGTGGGGTGTTTATACCTTGCTTTTGCAGTGTGTGTGTTTATTCCTTGCTTTTGCTTTTGTTTCCTACAGCTCATTTGATTGCTTTTGCCTTTCCTCTGTACCTTTATTGCTTTTGTTTTTGTTTTTGCTCTTACTTTCTCTTTTCACTTTCTCAGAAGATGATTTCACATGGCTTTCTTCTTTTGCTTTCTCAGAAATCAGAAAATGATTTCAAAACCGCGAGCACATGGCTTTCTCATTTTGCTTTCTCAGAAAACGATTTCACATGGCTTTCTCATTTTGCTTTCTCATAAAATGATTTCACATGCATGAAAACGCCATCACCGACAAGAAATTTACAAAGCAAGTCTGGGACTTGCTCTGCGACCGATGTGGATGTTGGTGGTGATGGCTTTGGATGGTGCGATTGGAGAGAGGTCAGTCGACGGAAGAGAGAGAGATGCACAACTGACAGAAGTGAGCTTGGTCGGTGGCTTTCGCGTCTCTGTCCTTGGCTTGCTGTTTCGAACCCGAGGTGACCATCCAGTCACATACAAATTATTCCCCCGGTTCTGCACAGACGGACTTCTTGACATGTATCTCGACCTTGAAACAGACCTCGAAAGGGAACCACTGTATCGTTTCGGGGATGGAGAGTAGGAATACCTTGACCTTCTGGGGTACGACATCGTAGCAATCGCAGGCAAAGATTAATCACTCTTCACTTTCCGAAATCAACGATCAATCTCTCGCATTCTCTCTCCTATTTCTTTCTCTCCTCACGCTCTGTGATGATGGTTGATCTGATCGCACACGGATTGAAGGCGGTTAATGCGGCGAGCGATGGCTACGATTTGGCAGCCGGCTTTAGCCAAGTCTAAGCACAACTCGCGACCGAGGCCAGAGGAAGGGCCGATGACCATGACAACTTTGCCGTTAAGGTGGCTCCAAGGCTCCAGGTGGGGGCGGGGATTATGAATCGTCTCCCATACGGAGTTCTAGTAAGTTCGCATCTGTCATCTTTTGATCTTTCAACATCTGGCACAGTGATCATAGTCGGATCCAAAGCGCGTTGATTCGCAGCCAGGTTTTCAATGGCGGGCGGTGCTGGGCCGGGTTATGAGCCAGGATTGGGTTCAACAGTGGCGTGAAAATAAGACAGGAAATAGACCTTCATAAATGTCTCTGCAGTGGAAGAGGTTGCATCTGCTGCTCCATCACCTTGGCCGGCAGTAGTGGGTGTGACGCCGTCATACCCCAGTTCATGCTAATGGATCCGTAGGTGGAGACGGGGGTCGCCAGGAGGAACATGAGTGTGCAGATATTTGGGGGTATTTTCTGGGTTTTTGTAACCGTTTGTTTGGGTTTTTCTAGGAAGTGATTGGAAAAACTGTGATATATCTAAAATCAGATTTGGGTGTTTTGATTTGTTTGGTAGATGAAAATGGAGATCCGTAGGCGTTTTGGATTTTTTGCAGATCCACGGTGGACAGTGGTTGTGATGAAAAAAATGGGAAAGAACTGACATAGCTTTTCGTGTCGATTCCCACAGATGGCACCAAATGTTGATGCACAAAATCGGAGGGGTCTTGGAACAACTTAAATCCGACCGTGAATCTGCAAGAAAGTAAAGAATACAAGATGTATCGTGGTTCACCCTAATATTTGGGTTACGTCTACACTGATATTGTATTTCTCTGAGAGGATTGTGAGGGAGAGAGCCTCTGTAATGTGAGAGCGAGGCTTTGAGAGGGTGAGAGTCAAGCCTAAGAATTGACCTCCCTTAATGAGGAGAGTGAGGGGTCCTTTTATAGAATAAGGGCTCCTCACTTGTTACATATTTGCCCCTTCATTTATTACATAATTACATTTGAGTCCTTCGAGTATTTATACGAGATCTAAATACGGATGCCCTAAGTATGGTACACACTTTCCATCTTGGAATCTGATGAAACAAATAGAATTTGTTAATTTTGATGTATTCCCTCATAAACTTGGAAGAAAGCCGATAACAGACCTAGTTCAAACAATTTTTTTGTTCAGGCGTCATTAAGTTTTGTAAGACATAAGTAAAATAATGGGGAGTAGAAAAAGAAGAAATAGAAGACCAAAACCATTGAATTAGACATTTCTACTGTCAACCGTCAACTGGATTCATACAAGGACTGAAGAAGAACTAAAAGAGCCTGAAATGTGATAGCTTAGAGGATTTAGGAATTTTGTGTTCAAAGGCGCTGACTTCGAATCCAATTGAAGCGGAAGTGGAATCCGTCTAATATGGCTTGCGTATTTTAATTTTGTGTTTTGGTTATTTTAAGGGTATATTAGTACTTTTATATCAACTTTTGATTATAATTATCATAAACTAAAAATGGTGGCTATAATTCTATATAAGGTCTTTTCTTTGGTTATTTTTCCAAATTTCTCAAAATAAAACCCTACTTATATTAGCATTGTTGTTGGTGACTTTGATCTCTTGAGTTGGTGGAAATCAAACATAAAAGAGTTCCTAATTATTTCACATATAGTCAATGATATCTTTGCAATCCCCACTTCTATTATTGCTAGTGAAAATGCATTTAGTCTAGGGATGATGGTTATAGACCCTTTTAAGGCATCATTGACTCCTAAAATGGTAGATGCAGTATTGTGTACTAGTGATTGACTTAGGGCGGATGAAGTAAACTTCTACAAGGAACCAACGAAAGATATACTTCAATTTTACAAGGAAATGGAAGAAGTGGAAACAAGTAAGATATGCTTTAATTTTTTTAGTAAATTTGTTATTAAATGGTTTTCAACTTTAATTCTTGCTACTAATATGTTTTCTTTGTTTGTAATGTAGGTTTGACACAAGCTCAATCTTCTACGAGTTCAATGCCTCCTTCAAAAACTTCGACAACTCAAAATTGAAGAATTGATCAATGAATTTTACTTTTTGAAGTTTAGTTCCAATTTTCATTTGGTTTGAAACTTTAACTTCTATTTGGATTGTCAACTTCCTTTTGTTTTGGTTTGTAACTTCTATTTGGATTGTAAGCTTAATTTTCATCATGAACCTTGATGCTTCATTTGAATTATTGTGTGTGTGAATTGTGAATGATGAATAATAGATGAATTTAGGCTACAATGTATGAGATAAAGGTACCCCAAAAAAAAAAAAATTTCCCTTGAATTGGGTTAAAAAAACAAAAATAAATTTTGTCCCAAAACAAAGTGACAATTACCATTGTCATACCATGCCAACCGAACTATTTGACAATATTGAACTTTTGTATACCAAAAGTTTGGTACGGTAATGGTAATAGATTTTGCCAAACTGAAAGTTTGGTACAGTAATTAGTACAAGAGTTTTGGTACGATAACCGTACCGAATCCACCCTTCTTCAAACGAGACAACTATGCCATTTCACTCCTATTTATTTTATGGGTAAATTACACAGCAACCCCTCAGGTTTGAGGTCTTATACAAACTCATACAACATCTTTAAAACATTTCACTTTCATACCTCACGTATCATTTTATTTCAAAATAATACATCCGTTACATTTTTCATCCATTAATCTGTTAAGTGCTGACGTGGTTGCCACATGGCTGCCAAATGTGTGCCACATAGCAAAAAATTTTTTTTTTTAAAAAACCTAAATCTTCTAAATAAATAAATATATATATATATATAAACAAAACTGAAATAAAGCACCCTCATACCCTCCCCACCCTACCCCATCCACCCACCCGCCCGCTCCCCCCAAACCAGAAGCCCATAAATGATAACCCCTCAACCCCCCCACACCCCACCCCTCCCCACACCCCCACACCCCACCCCTCCCCACCCGCGTCCCTCACCCCAAAACCAGAAACCCAGAACACACCCCCTAACCTGCCACCCTCCCTCCCCAGATCCCCATTCCTATAACCAGTTCGTCTTCTCCCCACATCCGCACTCACCCTCCTTCCCCCTTCTCCTTCCTCCATGTTCATCTTCTTCCCCTGAAACCCCTTCTTGCAACCCGAAAAAAAAAAAAAAAACCAGTTCGTCTTCCCCCTGCACCCGCACCCACCCTCGCACTCAATTCCACCTCACGAACTCGGCGATGGCAGCGTAGATGTGATTTGGGTTTTTTTTTCCTTCCCTTTCTTTTCTGGGTTGCAGGGGAAGAACACGAAGATGGGGGAGAAGAGAGGTGGAGGGGGGAAAGACGAACTCAAGGTTTTTTTTTTCTTTCTAGGTTGCAAGGAAGAAGATGAAGATGGGGGATATGGGTTTGGGGGTTGCGGGGAAAAGAGAGGAGGATGAGGGAAGGCTTCAATTTATTTTTTTTTAATATTTATTTAGAAGATTTAGGTTTTTTTTTTTAAATTTAAAAAAAAATTGCCACGTGGCACACATTTGGTAGCCATGTGGCAGCCACGTCAGCACTTAACAGATTAATGGATGAAATATGTAACGGATGTATTATTTTGAAATAAAATGGCACATGAGGTATGAAAATGAAATGTTTTAAAGATGTTGTATGGGTTTGTGCAATACCTCAAACCTGAGGGGTTACTGTGTAATTTACCCTTATTTTATTTTAAGCCCCTCTTGTAATTCTTGAGAGTTTTTTTGCTTTTTGCAGACGGCTCACTACAACAAGTGTAATAATATAATTGGTTGAAAACTTAAAAAAAAATCAACTAATTCTATTATGACACTTGGTGATGGTGTACGGGACTATGTTTTCAGCACAATAAAAAAATTCTCGTAATCCTGATGGCGTTGACACTAACATTTCAATTGAAATAAAGGCATGTACACTGACAAAAAAAATTAATGAATGAAAATTAAAATCATTCAATTTTATCTATGCTAAGAGGTGAACGAAGTTGCCTAAATCCCACAATAGGCTAGTTATAAAAATTTAGTTTGAACCTTTCTTTCTCGAGAATCAAACCTTAGACATTTCACTTACAAGTGTTGAAGAATACCGGTAGACGGTACTAGTTGCATGGTTTTAAAGTCGTCTTCTAATGGATGGTAAAACCATCCAGATATTGGTGCCATGGCAAGAAGTTCCCACCTTTAAGTTTAGAGTATGACACAAATGGTGGACAGTACTCATCATAAGATAACATTGTTCAGAACTGAAACATTTTCTCCAATTCCAGAGGAATAAGGAACAAACAAAAAGAAAAACTTAATTACAAGAAGTTAGAAGTGCAATGGGAACGAGGATGAGATGTTCGTGTACGTTTTTGCTACCTATCTTTACCTTTGTCGCGGCCATGGTCCGGCCTACTTCCCCTTTGGATCATCTTCTTAGCGTCCAACTTGCTCCCTGCTCCTGCAGATCCAGATGCTCCTTCTCTTAGGATTTCCCTTCTGGTATTATGTCCTTGATGATCTACTTGTTGCGTTTCCGATCTGACACCTTTCCTTTCGTTTTCGACTGTTAACCTTCCGTCTGATCTTTTGTTTTGCATCTGCAGCAGCGCATAATCTCTCTTTCCAGTGGTACTACTACTGAATTTATCATGAACATTTGCTGCTCCAAATTTTACCTTATCATGACTATGACTATCTGATTCTCTGCTAGTTGGCACTGTTTGTTTCCCTGGCTCCTGGGACTGGGAGGGTGTAACCGGCAGTGGTTTATGTTTGCGACGATCAGGAGTTGCTGCTGCTGCCTTGGAGTTGGAATCTCTGTCTCTCTCTTGTTCAAAGAAGAGGACTTGCACAACAATCCTCAATGGTAGCCGCTCATTTTTCACAGCGTGAGCACGTACCTCAGGCGACAACTTCTGGCAGTCTAAAATGTGGCACAGGCGCTTCTTGTCTGCCTTGCTCAGATCCCCATGCTCCTGCTTATTAACACATAAGTTTCATCAATGAATTAGTCAATCAGCATTTAGTAATTAAATATACTTATGGATTCTAAATGGCAATGACATTCACTTCTTATATTTGCCTTTGTCGCAGCCATGGTCCGGCCTACTTACATACCTTCAGATAAATGTTAATAGCCTTGTAGATGCTGTCATGGTCTTCCCTTGCAATATCCGGCAAAGCTTCAGCCAGTGATACCACTTTTGAAACTGGCATGTTGACATCCTTGGCAACGACTTGAAGGTACGAATCAATGAGTTTCCCAACCTTTCTCATTGTTCCTAAAACCTGAGCGCTTCTGTTCAATTCAGAAGCAGCTGCAGGGGATTGTCTTCTCCATAGCACCAAGAAACTTTCTAACACTGCCAAAACCAAGTCAATATCGTAAAATTCTGGGTTAGCGGGAGAGTGTGAAGGAAAAATCAGGTCATCCACCGTTGCCTCTTCGAGTTGTAGACCGGACCTCCTTAACAATTCTGTCTTTGTCACTGGGGACACTCCCAAGTAATTGGCAATGACAATAAGCCTTAGCAAGAAACCAACAGAAACTGCTCCCTTGTCTTCGGGAATCATGTTCACAATGCTATCAACAATTCTTCGATTCTTTTCCATAAATTCCTCACCTGTTTGTGGAGGTGTTCTTGTGGTGTCTGGCAGCCAACGACAAGCATAGACGTGCAAGGCTTCCCCAATGAGCTGCGGTGGCAGCATAGACGTGGATCTAACAGCAGTAATTATACATCGAAACAGGTCTACATCAAGGTCTGATATATCCTCAGTCCACCAATCCTTTGGGACAGAATGATGTTGCTTTTTGGTGTAGCCAGGCCTGGTATAAGTGTAGGACCATGAAACCTGCAAATTAAGATTGACTAACCTTTCTTAGTTTGAGCAAATCAATAAGGAAGAATAAAATAAACCGATTGCTGACAGAAGAAGAAGAATAATAAATTTTTAAGTACGCATTATGCGACCTTTGCTGTAGGAGTATGGATTTTCTCAACAATTGAATCAATGCACTTTCTGATGATCCCAAGATTCTCAGACCACTCAGGAAACTTCACTGTAGTTTGTAGTGCAGCAATAGAGTCTTTCCAACCTTCAAGAATGCACGAATTGAAGAAAGCCTCAAGTTTCGGAACAAAATTTCCCTTCTCTACTGACTCAGTCATTCGGAGGAACTTAGCAGCACAAAATGCAGGTACAAAGTTATAGGCGCTGAGATTAATCATAATTCCGTAACAGAACTTAGCACACATTTCGAACGCATCTTCACCTCCTGGAATATCGTGAAGCTCTATGCTGATCTTTTCCGAATCACCAGAGTGAGAGCAAAGCCGTTGTAAGAGGCCAAATTTTGGAAGAAGTGGAAACTGCAGCTAACAAAAGCACAATTATCCCTTGACCAAGAGCAAGCACATCTATGTGTACATGCAGAAGAAGTGCCAGCTGTATTAGTCTGCTGTATGATTTTACAAAATTGGGAGAAATAGTGAAATGTTCATTCTTATTCAATGTTTTTCCTTTCCTTCATTTCTCCAGTACTACTATCACGCACTGAAGAACTTTTTTTTGCTTTAAAAACACTGAAAAATTCTACACAGGAATGCGGAGGAAGTACTGATCAGCAGAAAAATTGCACATCCGTGACTGCACGAGAAAATGAAATTGGTGCATTTCCACAAAACATTATTCCTTGTAAATGATCAGTTCATACCGTATGGAGAAGATAACTTATGTCGTTAATTTGTATGACAAAGTCGCTGGGTACATCTGAAATCACGGTCCTGCACACATAGTGAATGCAAAATCAGCTGAAATAAAATTGTTGTGAGGACAGCTCACAAATCAACAAATCAGTTTAATTAAAACCGAAGTGCACAAAGTAACAATTTCATTATGAACGTGAGCTGTGAGGACGTACTTGTGAGGATATTGATTCTATGCATAACCATTCAACCTCATCTATGGAAAAAAGGTGGGGAACAAGTCATAGCAAGTACCTGGTAGCATCTTCAGTGTAGAAGGTGTCCGGCTTGGTTCCAATTTTCATAAACTTCATTTTCAGATTAGTACTTCGCTTTTACAAGAGATGATAACAGGTTCTCCCTTCAAAATACTTGTGCAGCAACACACCCTTTTGGATGATTTCTGAAAGAGATTAGTTCAATTTCAGAACTAAACTAAATCATTCACTTCACTACCTATAAGCCTAAAAGAATGCTGTATATATGTGGAAAGAAGAAACATATATGGGTAATGCATTTTGGGAAAAGTATCTATTCATGCGTGATATAATTTTCCATATTAAGGGAACCAAACTGTAAATCGCAAAGGCTATATGGCAGGGAGATTTTAATTGACTAGCTAGCTAGAAATTCACCAGACAGACCAAAGCTATTTGTCTGATCGAATTATATCTCCATTATATACACAAATTTTATACCAAAAATAACATAAATATCTTGTTAATGAAGCTGAAACATTAACTAATTAGTAACAATTAGCATGTAGATGGTTGCAAATTATGAAAGTAGGAGGCTGGTTTTGATTGTCTCAGAAGCCGAACAAGGATGCAAGTTTGAATCGTCAAAATCCACAAATAAAGATATAATCATGGAAATTCTATATATATATATATATATATATATATATATATATATATATATATATATCTCTCTCTCTCTCTCTCTCTCTCTCTCTCTCTCTTTCTCTCTCTCTCTATATATATACATATGAATTAATTGTGAAGTAGTAGGATTTATGGCCCTTAATTACAGAAATTTAAGAATATGAATTAAGTTGTGAAGTAGTAGAGTTTATGGCCCTTAATTACCTGATAATCATCTTTCGTCCAGCCAACAAGGTGTCAAGGATCCACGAACATCAGCATACATTGTTAATCAACCTGCAACTCCTCCAATTTATACATACATAAGATACAAATACATATATACACAACCCAAATAATTAGTTAAGGGATTTTTTCCTAAACTGCATTAATAATAATTAATAACAAGAAGTTAAAAACAAGTGGAATTAATTTTTGCTCTGAGAATAGTCAGACTCGATTAGTAGTGCATTGTGAACTTTCAAACTACTCTCATTCAACTTTCTTGTGTTGCCACAAGAACTAAGGATGCCATGCAAATCATTTTTTTAATATTTTGTATGCATAAACTTGTTTAATTTGGAAGTTACACCGTCCATGGATGTATTTGTATTAGTGGACGAGTTGGATTAATAATTGTGGTTGAAAATCATTTAATTATAAGAAGTGAAACACGGCCACATGGACTAGACACTGACTACAGATAATTGACAAGACGTATATTAATAATCAACTATATGCAGTACAGTGAGCAAGCAGGACATTAAGTTGTTTCTCTTGTATATAGCCTTGTGTGTGCCAATTTCTCACAGTATGATATATGATCCAACCCAACCCAAGCCCCAGACTCATGACTCGCATCGCATGACCTAGCTTACTTTTGGTCTGAATATCTATCCTTGAAAGAGTAACCATATATATACTGCTAATGCGGCACAACACGCAGTACTCTTATATTTTTCTTCCAATTAGCAGGCCAGAAGGAATATTACAAACATTTTTATATTAAAAAAAATTCAATATTAGTTCATATATATAGCAGAAAAGAGAAGCATCGATCGGAAGAAACGTTTGTTAATTAAAGGTAGATTAGCTATAACAACTTAGCTAGAACACCATAAACAATCTACTTTCTACTCATATAACCTTATGACGTCGATACATATAAACTATAATATATGAGTGTGCATGGCCTCTCAAGTTGTATGTGTGTATATTATACATACGAATATATACGTACTGGAGGGTGGAACCGTTTAGCTATTTAGGGACGCGCTCACTTTTGACATTGATAAAGAGCCCCTCCACAAGCTTCATATATATAAGATGGTTTTGTTCATTTCTTTTTGTCCATATATTCATCGAATTCAAAAAAAATTTGGCAACTTTTTGGCTGACTTGTAAATAATTGTTAAGGCTCTCCCGTCTTACAGTCTCCTTTGGACAGTGTATATTTATCCTTTAGCAAAGTAGGGCAGAATCTTTCTTTCATTGCTGAATAACAGAATGGAAAGACAACCAAGTTATTTACCTATATATGTATATATAATACATATACATATACGCATGAACTTATGAAGTTAATTATAACAGGATAGAGTTAACTTGCAAGCTAGAAGATTAAGTTTTATGTATGTCAAATAATCACACTCCAATTTCCCTCTATTTATACTAAATAGCATATATATCATTAACAATATTGAGTAGTAACTGGGACTAGGACGACTTAGCAACTGATATATATACAGGCCAATATTATTCCCAATGAACAGTAATTAAGAAATATAATGATCAAAAGAAGGTACGTACCGCAAGTAAACAATTGAGCTGAAGGAACGTTGAATTCCAAGGCAGCAACAGCAGCTAATTTATACAGTCGATCGGAAAAGAAGCAAAGTAATTTAATTACCTTCAAATGACTCCAAGTGATCGAGTGGACCGAACGATGGATTGGAGAGAGCAACTGTATAGATGCGCAGCCAAATTAGTAAATCCAATATTTAATACCTTCTGATGGGAAGCCACTCTAAGTACTAGCCAACGAGATGCAGCAACGTGAAATATAGAGAAGAGGGTAGTATACATGTCATGCATATAATCCCGAGAGAGAGAGAGAGAGAGAGGGGGGGGGGGAAGAGTCTGAGAGACGACTGATAATTAGGGGTTTCTTTAGCTACCTAAGCTTACTAGCTAGAACAAGTACAACTGTGACCGCTGTGAGTGTGAGACACCAACGGGAGAGGGAGAGAGAGAGAGAGAGAGTCTGTCTGCAGTGCGTGTGTGGGATTGGTTGGGATTAGTCAACAGGGTAATGTATGAAAAGCGCATTATTCAGAATACATGCATCATGTGACATATATGCATTATATGTAATATATGATAAAGTGCTTGAATTATAAATAATGACAGAAAGCGGGATCAACCGGTCTCTTCTGGCGATGGAGCGAGCGCAGGCCAAAGTCAATGGAATTAGTGCTCTAACTCTGATTGAATTATTCAAATTAGAATTTGTTCGAGATATGTCAACAATCTATGATGAATTTGTATATGTTAATAAATAATAAAATTCGAACAGTGTATGAACAATGAAATAATATTTAACATAAATATTGAAGATCGAGGTTTGCGTACCGCAATGTCCTTGAAACATAAATTTCGCCCCTACTCAATGCTTGTAGTTCTACAGACGTCTGCTTCACTAGGATTCAATGATCAAGTCAGAATTCCAACACTGAAAAACTTGACTTTTGACGAATTTCTGTGTGGTTCTCTGATAAATGATATTTGTGATTGTAGAAGAAGAATGTTGATTTTCTATGTACTAAATATCATGCAGATGGATGTATATATAATATAATTATGCTTCATCGCAATAGGTATGAGGAAGGGATTCATCTATTGGGAGACATCTTCTCACAGGGGTGTTTTCTTTATGCGTTCTTTCACACTTTAGACTTCATCTCAAATAATGAATCTGTTAATAAAATAATAATTAATTAAATTCTAAATTAATTAAAAATAATTAATCAAATCCGAAAATAATTAATTAAAGTATTTAATTATTAGAGTCCGAGGCCCAAGGCCCATCTTTTGATAATTAATTATATATTAATTATCAATTAATTAGCACACCCCAAAGCCCAACTCCAAGGGTGAGTCCAATTTTATTCTCCAATGTCCATAACTCCAATAACTTTCAATAAAGGATAAAGCCTAATAAAGTGAAAGAATTTTATGATGGTGAGCAATGTGAGACAATGAAATTCTACTCAAAATTTCCAACATAATTGAACTAAATAATTACAAAAAAGCATGCAATGTATGCAAGAAGATTGCAAGTGGGAAGTGAGAAGGCCTTAAAGAAACAAAGTCAAAAAAAGCTCAAAAGAGTGCTCCTCCTGAAACATCATGTCCATCGCGTGGGACCAGATCATGACATCTTGCTGATTTCTCTTACTGCTTAAGGGAATTGGATCCCCTTCGGACCTTAGTGGCCGGAGTCTAGGAATCAAGCAATTTGAGCTACTCATTTGTGTGGAAAAGAAATCGAAGTTATTAGTTTGTGTGAGTTGAGCTAGCATAATAAGTTTGAGAATCATCAGATTTGATTTGTATGGTCCAAATTGTTTGATCTCTAGATTCCAGACACTAAGATACAGAACAAATCCAAATTCTTGATTAAGCATCCTCTGCCTAGCTTAAGTACTATAACCTCCTCTGCCTAGCTTAAGTACTATATATTATCTATATTCATCCCTCCGTTTCTTTTCTTTTTTTTGTTAAACATATTCATTTCTCCGTTGAAATTGAAATGAAAGAAAATAAAGCAATATCCCATTAATTAATTAATTGATTCCCAGTTTCCTATTTCCTCATCAACAATGATGCTTTTCCCCACTAAGGTAAAGGTATATTCTCCTTCATCTTCTAATCTAGGCTATCTAGCAATTGCAAAAGATACTTGGTTGGCTCCTCTTATTCTGCATGTGGGCCACGTGTGTCGTCCTCTACCGTTTGTTACATCTCTTGCACTCACAGTCACACTGATGGGATTGTCATGCCTCCCCATTGTCGGTTGCTTCCAGGGGCAGACGCAGACAAGTATTCTCTTCTCCCCCACTCTCAAGTCTCGAGTCTCCACCAACCAACCAACCATGCATCCTCATTTTAATTTCTAAATTGGGTAAATTATGGTTAGACTTCCTAAACTATCATCTTAGTTGAAATTGATCTTTTACATTATTTTTTTGGTAAATTAATCTCTGAACTATTTCAAATTAGTCAATTAATCTCTTGCCGTTAGATTACGGAATCAATTTTGTCAAATTCAAGAGTAAATTAGTCATTTCATCATCAGTTGTTACTTGTTAGTTATAACCACCAATAAAATTTTGACACATGGACACAAAATAAGTTCATAAATTCATTGGTAGTTATAGTTGACAATTAATAATTAACGAATGAAAGGCTAATTTTTCTTTGAATTTGACAAAATAGTAGATGGAATCTACCGACAAGGGGTCAATTGGCTGATTTCAAATATTTCAGGGGGTTAATTTACCAAAAAATAGTTCAGGGATCAATTTCAACTTGAGTAATAGTTCAAGGGGTCAAATGGCATTTTACCCTTCTTAATTTCTCTAGTTTATGCCCTACCAACACTTGGAAAATTTTCACATGCCCAGAATTTAAGAAGTATTGTACATATCATAATACAAGTAGAGAACAAAAAATATTTTTTTGTGTCATTTCCTTTATATTATAACACGTGAAATAGCTCCACCAACACAACATATGCAATATTTTGCATATATATTATATTAGGAGAATGTTAGGGAAACTATTTTTTTTTTTTTTTTGCCACACGATGTGGTGGTTGATGGTTGAACTTATTTTTTAATGATTTAAAGAAAGAACTTTGTTGATGCACAAAATCAGTGAGGACTTTGGTACAACAGAAAGTGTTAAGTTTGTAACATTCGCTAGATTGCTCCGGTCACTAGTGTGGATAAGTATGTAAATGGATAGGTACAGAGAAGCAAACACAAGATGTACGTGGTTCACCCAGATTGGCTACGTCCATAGAGTAGAGGAGTTCTCATTAATTGTGAAGGGTTTACACAAGTACATAGGTTCAAGCTCTCCTTTAGTGAGTACTAGTGAATGATTTAGTACAAATGACATTAGGAAATATTGTGAGAGAATGATCTCTATTTATATAAGAGAGTTTCTAGTTTTATTCTGACATTGACACGTGTCGTGTTGTGATTGGCTTTTGATGTTGACACGTGTTGCGCTATGATTGACTTCTGATGTCGATACGTTTCGCGCTGTGATTGGCCTCCTAGTTGGAGGGAAACTCTTCTGGGTCCTTGACGGTATAACGTTGACTGGTGCTCAGTAGTTTCGGGATTGGTCAAGTATGGTACAAACAAACTCAAACATCAATCACTACATTTATATAATTTACAACACCGACTATATTATATATACACTCACTCGTGTCCAATTATATATTATATTATGTTTGTTTGGGGGGGGGATTTGACTAATGGATCTTTTTGCCTAAGTTAATATCTCTGATAAAAGTGAGTGTTAAGGCTTGTATGCGTAGTCAAAAGCATACCAATGAAAGGTAGAGATAAGGTATTTATAGGAGGTGGTCGGCCATAGAATTAGGGTTTGCCCTACCCACGGTGGCTTCTAATTGGACAGGTGAATCATCTAAATGGATGAGAAAGGAATTATCAGGTAAGTATCCTTGATTGATAGTGATGAGGATTCCTTACTTGTTTGAGTTGTTCTTTAATCATAAATGTATTAAAGATGAGCTTGGCGATGTCGTAGACAGCTACACAAGTCTCCATAGATGTTGAACTGCGCCTGGGAGTATTTGTGTGTCCTGCCCATTTAATGAAGGCATTCTTGTCTTCTTCGGAAAAAAAATCAACGTGTCATCTTCAGGATCATTGTGAATATTTTATTTTCTATGAGGTTAAATGATCTAATGGCTCTTATTTAGATGTATAATTTTTATGTGCATTAGAGAAAGCCTTGTAAACCAATTGCATGAGATATTATATTACATACTCCAATTCTAAAGGCCTCGACCTCTGTGCTTTAAAGCATTACAGTGACATATATCGAGTTAAGATCTGTTGATGCACAAAATCAGTGAGGACTTTGGTATTACAGAAAGTGTTAAGTTTGTAACATTCGCTAGATTGCTCCGATCACTAGTGTGGATAAATATGTAAATGGATAGAGACAGGGAAGCAAACACAAGATGTACGTGGTTCACCCAGATTGGCTACGTTCACAGAGTATAGAGTAGAGGAGTTCTCATTAATTGTGAAGGGTTTACACAAGTACATAGGTTCAAGCTCTCCTTTAGTGAGTACTAGTGAATGATTTAGTACAAATGACATTAGGAAATATTGTGAGAGAATGATCTCTATTTATAGAAGAGAGTTTCTAGTTTTATTCTGACATTGACACGTGTCGTGTTGTGATTGGCTTCTGATGTTGACACGTGTCGCGCTATGATTGGCTTCTAATGTCGACACGTGTCGCGCTGTGATTGGCCTCCTGGTTGGAAAGAAACTCTTCTGGGTCCTTGACGGTATAACGTTGACCGGTGCTTAGTAGTTTCGGGATTGGTCAAGTATGGTACAAATAATGCTCCCCTAAGTTCCCGAGTGAGGGAAGCTCATCGGTTGGGGACTTGCAAGATCCAAACCATTGAGTAATCACGAAACTTCTAAGTACCGAAGTGTGGTATCATTTTCACTTACCTTATCTGTCTCATATGTAGATGTGGCATCTTCTCTGGAAGTACTTTTCCTTCATCCAAGCGTGGTATCTTTAACTGATGAAGATGCACAAGGATATGTATCAATTTCACTTGAAGCTTACTTGTAGTTTCGGACTTGGTCAAGTGCGATACAAACCCTATAATAGAAGTCCCCCAAGTCGCCGAGCTAGGAGATTTGCCGAAAGAGGTAATAGACAAGGTAATCAATCAGACTTCTAAGCAAGCAACCTGGATCGGAGATTCGACTTCGGCTTCCGGTTGATTGTTCTTATTCTCCTTGTGTCGTAAACACCAACAAGG